ACATGACTACTACACCAGCACAGAGCAGTGTTGTCTATGCCAGTACCAGAGAAAGCAGATTTTAAATAAAGGTCGTAAGAAGCAAAGGACTATGCAGGACAATAAGTTCAATACAGGAACTCAAAGTTATGCAGATCAACTGAAGATCAATTGAAGGGAGAAATGGTTACAAAAATGATATTTTGGGCTGGGAAGGTGGATCAGTGGTAGAGTACTTGCCTTGCATGCATGAGGCCGTGGGTTTGATTCCTCAGTACCACATAAACAGAAAAATCTGGAGGTGGCACTGTGGCTCAAGTGGTTGAGCACTAGCCTTGAGCTGAAGAGCTGAGGGACAGCACCTAGGCCCAGGACCGACAAAAAGATTTTGGGCCCCACTCCACAATGGATAGAACAGGCAGCCAAGGTACATACATCAAGAGCAACTAGCCCAGAGAAGTAACCAGAACTCACAAAACATGTATGACTGTAGCCAGTAGTAATAAGCTCTTCCCAAGGGGTCATGAGGTATTTAAAAAGACAATCTATTTTGGTTACAGTAAGAGGAAGGTAGAGATATAGAAACTAGAAGATAGAGAAAATTTGGGGAATTGAAAAATGTTCTCTGATTGGGCTTTGATCTTAAGACCTTGCTGCTTGCTTAGACTGGCATGCTACCACTCAAGCTATTCCTCTAGCCCTAACAAACATACCCAATAAATCAAGGAAGAAATCAGGGAAACTACAAAATACTTAGAAATCAGTCAAGTCAAAAACAGCAAAGCTTAAGGCTTGTAGCCAAAGCATTGCAAAAAGAAATGTATAAATAGAGATGGGGAAACAGTTCAAATCAATGTTACAAACTCAGGAAGTAGAGAAAAAAATTGTATTAAAGGAAGGTAATAAAAATTTAAGCAGAATGAAATGGACAGCAAATCAAAACCAAAATCATGATTTGAGAAGTTCAGTAAAATTGATAAATCTTGGGGCTGGGAAGGTGGCTCAGTGGTAGAGTGCTTGCTTGCCTTGCATGCATGAGGCCCTGGGTTTGATTCCTCAGTACCACGTAAGCAGAAAAAGCTGGAAGTGGTGCTGTGGCTCAAGTGGTAGAGTGCTGTCCTTGAGCTGAAGAGCTGAGGGACAGTGCCCAGGCCCAGAGTTCAGGCCCCATGACCTACAGGAAAAAAAAAATCTTTTAGAGGTATAAAAGGGCTAAAATCAGAAATGAAAATTACATTTCTACTGATTGCATTTGTTGTATGTCAATAAATTTTAAAGCTTAGATGAAGAGGATAATTGGTAGAAACAACCCACCAAGGCTTAATCCAAAGATTAGTCTAAACCTAGAACTAGTAAGAGGTAGAGTTTGTCCTAGAAAACCTCCCAGCAGAGAAAAACTTGACCTAGTGGCGTTCTACCACTCTATCAAAGGAACAAGAAGATCATGTCCTAACTCAGTTCTATGCAGCTAGCACAATTGTCATCTTAAAGCCATGCCAAGGCACTAAAGATGTGTGCACATTACACAAAGGCCCTCAAGGCAACCAAGGGATTAGCAAGTCTGCTTCAACACACAGAATATGACTAGTGTTATAGGATACATGAACAGGACGAAGGTGAAAATCATCTGAGAATATAAGAATGCATTTTATACAATTCTGCACCTTATTGTGGTGAGCTCAGCTGACGAGGAGGAAACGTGAAGACAAACTCCCTGAACATGTTGCTTGGTGGTGAAATGCTGAACTTTTCATTTTAGATGGGAAGCGATGATGCCCGATGCCCACTGGAGATAGTATAATGGACTCTCCTGCCCAGGCTGGCTTCGAAACTTGCTCCTCAGATCTCAGCCTCCTGAGTGATTACAGGTGCGAGCCACTGGCACCCAGCCAAGACCATTTTTAAGTAAGACAAAACCTATAAAGTTCTTAGAAGAAAACAGGATGAAGTGCTTATGTTTCTGGATTTGTCAATGATTTCTTGGATATAATACCAAAGGCACAGGAAGCAAATGAAAAAATATACTAAGTAGATACTGAAAGTTAAAAAGTTTAAGACTAAATGAAAAAAAAGTATCTGATTAAAAACTAGGTGTTTACTTAGCCTTTAACAATAACCCAATTAAAAAATGGACTAATGATTTAAACAGACTTCTCAGAAGTCAATATGACCAATAGATATGAGAAATGTTCAACATCTCTGGCCATAAAGGAAAAGCAAATCTAAATAATACCTTGATTCTACCTTACCCCGTTAGAATGACCATTATCAGGAAAACTAACAGTAACCAATTCTGGCATGCATGTGGCCAAAAGGGAATACTACTGCACTGTTGGAGGAAATGTACACTTGTTCAGCCATTCTGAAAGGTAGTATGGAGGGTCCTCAAAAAACTAAACAGAACTGCGCTGTGACCCAGCAATCCCACTGCCGGGCGTTTAACTGAACACAAGCAAGGACACATTAGAGCTGCTACCACAACCAGGTTTATTAGAGCATTATTTGCCATAGCCGAGACAGGGAATCAGCCCAGATGCCCCTCTGGATAATGGGTCAAGAAAATGTGTATATTCACAATGAAATTCTCATCTATCAGAAGAATGACATTGAAGCCAGGTGCAGTGGCTCACACTTGTAATCCTAGCTACCCAGGAGGCTGAGAGCTGAGATTGCAGTTCAAAGCCAGCCCAGGCAGGAAAGTCCATGAGATTCTTATCTCCAATAAACTACTGAGGAAAAAAAAAGGAAGTGGGTCAGTGGCTCAAGTGTAGAGCGCTAGCCTTGAGCACAAAGAGGCTCAAGGACAGCACCCAGGCCCTGAGGCCAAGCCCCAGGGCATGGAGAAAAAATGACTATTGGTAAGGAAATGGAAATAAATTCTTGGAGAGGGTTATTTTAAGTGAAGTAAGCCACACCTAGAGAAACAGTTTGCATGGTTTCCCTTATTAGTGTGAACTAGAATGTGCCTATAAATCTAGATGTAACACACTGAGTGGCACCCAAGCAGTTATAAGTAAATAAACTGAATTATAATAGGATATATGGAAAACATAAATAGGATAATTCTTTAGAAAGACTAAATCAAAGCTCAATGAAATGAGTACCAGGAAATGGGTACTTGGTGTGTGTGTGGGGGGGGGGGGTGTCAAGAGGAGGAGTTGAAGAATGAATGGGGTGGGCAAATGAGTGGAATGCATTGTACATGCCACAGAACTGAGAAAAACAAGGGAAGGAGGGGTGGAGATGTTGAAGGAAAGACAGATCAAGATGCATTGTATACATAAATTGCTTTGTTTGATGGCAAAAATACTACATATCCTAAAAATTAAGAAAAGGAGGGAGTGTGGGGTGCATGACATCAATCAAGAGACACTGTATTTATAGCTGCACTGTTGAGTGGCAACACCTTTGTATAAGTACCTAAAGAAAATGAAAACGTTTTAAAAAAAAAAATGAAAGGAATAACACTGCATACATGCCCCACAGATGGACCTGGATGCCATCTTCAGTGAAATAACCCAATCAGAAAACACTGGGTCATTCCACGCATCAGCCAGACTCAGGGAAAATCAGACTTCCTGTAAAGATCATGGTAACAAGAATTTGAAAAGGTGTGCAACATCAACAATCCTTGGGGAAATGTAAGTTAAAGACACATCGCCAGGATGACTACTGACAAACTAGAAAATAGCAAACTTCTGTATTTTGGATCTGGGGTACCCCGCGGGCCCACGGGTGGGGTTTGAACCCCAACTCAGCTGCACTGTGGTGCTGCCATGGAAGCAAGTAGTGCTAGTCTTCAAAAAATTAAAAGCAGGATTACCATGTGGTCCAGCAATTTTGCCGCAGGATATATGTTCAAGTCCTGGAGAGCGTCTCAAAGACCTGTTGCACATGTATACCCATTCACTCTCCCTCTTCACCCTCCATTTCTGTGAGTATGAGGATCTAGTTCTGTGTGCAAGGGGCCCCACTATGGTACGGGTTGTGCTGAGGTCTCAGAGGGGATTCAGTGTTTGCAGAGCCTGGCATGTCTGTGTGACCCTATCTGTATGGTGTGTGCTTGGCCCAGGGATGGAATAAGAAATGGAGATGACTTCCTTTGTGCAGTTAATCTGGCTGGGTGTGTGTGGTGGGATCAGATTTTCACATCCCATTCCTGGTGCTAGCCGATCCCGGGCAGCACCGCCAGGCCGAGGATCGGCCTACATACTGCAGACGGTGCTGAACATACAAACTGTGTCTCAGGGGCACAGTCGTCCCAAGAGGGAGGGGGAAGTGGTCAGGTGTAGGTTCTGTCCCAGGGCTATCCCTCACCCCTCTCTGGCCTTCCTCCTAGAATCATCAGTGTTCTTTGGTAAGTTTCCCCTGTTGCACTTAAACTGTAAATAAAAGGGAGCATTTGGGCTGAGCAGGGTGGCTCATGCCTGTAATCTTAGCTGCTTTGGAGGCAGACTCGGGAGGATCAAGGTCCAAGGCTGGGCCTGGGCCTGAAACTCTGAAAAGATAAGAGAGGCAAAAAGTACATCATCCCTCTCAACCCCACCCCCCTCCAGGAAGTATTTGAGCTTTAGTTCTTTTTCTCCCAGATCAGGAAAGACATGATGTTTTTTATGGAATAAGAATAACTTTAATAGATATTGCTTTTACAATGTGGGAATCGCATTTTTAGAAGTAGAGATTCCAAATGTGCCTCCTTTGTGCCAGTGCATGTACGGTGCTGTGGTAACACAAGGAACAGTGAATGATGAGATATCGAAAAATAAATTACAGTAAGAAAGTGGCGTCTCCATCGGGGAAGATGACGTGTAGGGCCCGGCTAGTGAGGTGATCACTGCCTTAGGGTTAGCATTGCAAGCCCCACATTTTAGCCATGGCTACAAATTCCATTTACGACACAGGAAGGATCTGATCGGAGGCAGCTGGCGCCCGGGGTGGTCGGTGGACAGTGCTTCCTGGGGCTGCCGTGGGGCCGCATAGCTGGCGGCATGAGAGGCGAGGTGCCACGAGGCTCTGGCTGGCCCAGTGGCCTGCACATGGGCTCCCAGCCCTACTTCTGGATCGTCAGTTTGAACTCCACTTTCCCCTCATACGGGTCATGGGGGTTGTCGAAGCTCACGTGGTCTGCGAGGATCTTGCACACAACGATGACTTGTTGGTTCTTGGGGACGTTGAGCAGCTTGGCTGCCACCAGAGGGTTGCTGTAATGGGGCTAAGGAGGAATCGGGGAAGGATGTGGCGGGTGAGAGGTTGGTAGACCCCAGCGTGAAGAAAACTGAACAAGGAAAGCACCGGGGTTCTTCTCATCCTGCCTCAGGACCTGCTCCTGCTCCCCCCCTCCACCGCCCTCCAGGAGCTGGCCGCAGGCCAACTCCCTGCAGCCAGGGGCCATGGGTGAAGACAGCAGGAGTGAAGTCTGTGGTAAGGAGGAGGGCTTGGGCATGCACAGGGATTCGGTTTGGTGTTTTGGGAATGATTCTGGGTAGTTGTACGAGCATCGTTTGGGAGACATGGGGATCCTTGCCTGCTCAGGACTGGCCCACCATGTCCTTGATTAATAGTCTCTGCTTCCCGGTGGCTGAATCTGAGGCCCTCGGCCCCAGACAGGGCGGTGAGGCAGTCCCTACCTGCGCTTTCTTCCCGTAGTAGGGGAAGTAGTGGAGACTGAAGGTGCCGTTGGTGGGGTAGTATTCCACTTGTAGGGGCCTGGTGTCCATCCCAGACCTGTGCTCTCTGGGCTCATCCTAGGAGGAGAGATCATGGCTGAGGGCAGCAGATGTGGAGACACTTGTACACACGTGTGCATGTCTGTGTGTGTGTGAGAGAGAGAGAGAGAGAGTACTGCTGCACAGGCAAGTACACCGCCCTTCGCACTAGATCCGCTCTTCATAATCAGCTCCTAAAGCCCAGTAGGTCATCTGTCAGAGTGCACCCTTCCCCTGCTGCCCACAATCATCCCATCTTGGAGCTGTGGGTGATGGTGCTGGGGTGGCAGATGCTTGCTGTCTGCATGGGCTGCTAGTGCTCTGTGCCACCACTCAGTTCAGAGTGCAGGGACCTCTGGGGTAACATAAGCACCATTGCTCCATATAGCTTAAGGTGTCACAGAGTAGAAGAGGGCTGCTTGGGCCAACCTACACATGTGTCCAGCAACAGCTGAACAGAGGACACCTGCATTGCCATAGCCATCCACATGGCCCAGGATGTGCTCTGTGTGTGCCACAGAACATGCGTGGCTTCATGAGTGCCACAGACCACGCGTGTGCCACTCCCCCATCAGGCCCAGCCCACACAAAGCACCACTCACCTGGAAGGCACAGTCCACACGGGGCGCCGTGTCGTTGCTTGGGAGAAACTTGACAATCTGGAAGAAAGGTGGCTGTGTGCTGTCATGTGTCAGCCCAGAGATCAGCCCAGCCCTTCCTGTCCTGAGGAACCCATGCCGTCCCTCACACACCCCGAGGCCCCCTCCCCGGGGTGTTTGAAGGGGGCTGCTGTGTGGTGGCAGAGCTGCCAGCATGACCCTGGTCGGCAGTAGCCTTGTATCCTGGCTGAGACTGGAGGGCAGCACCCAGGCTGCCTGCTGCTCCTGCAGGTCCCATTGGCCACCCTCTGGGGGTCTTTCTCTGCCTTTGGAACCTTCCAGCCCTTTGTCTCCCTGTCCCGACCTGGGCTCTGTGTGCCCGCCTCCCTGCGTGCCTTTCCAGGCCCAGCTGTCTGCTCCTGAGCTCTGCATAAGACCCTCATTGGGTAGACATCTCAGCTGTACAGCCCAGATGTGTCCATGTCCATGGCGCTCTGGCTGGGCAGTTCTGGGGACCTAGCTGGCTTTGTGAGACTGTTGGGAGCCACAGCGTGTGGCTCCTCCCAGGCTTTGTAACACAGGAACCCACGGCGCAGCCACAGGACTTGAACCGGCTTTGTCTCTGCGGCAGTGGTTCTACTGCTCCTCGCCCAGGCCCTTTCTGCAGTGGGGCTTTCTCCTCTGTGCCCCCACATGGCATTGTGTCCTTTTTGCCCTTTGCTTACTGTGGCTGTACTTCCGTGGCACAAGAGGGAGCATTGAAGCCCTGGTACCTCTCTGTGTGGCAACCCTGAGTCCCTGACAGTGGTGGGGCCTGTCCCCTCCTGTCCCTGCTGCCCCATCCGGGCCTTCAGTCTGGTCCTGGCTCCTCTAACAGCCTGTGTAGACTCAATGCACATGACCCCAGCTGTGGAGGGCTGGCCAGGCACTCAGGTCTGAGTGGATCATCCCAGACGGGGTGTGTGCTGGGCCGGGGCTCGCGGGGCAGAGCGCAGGGTCTCTGTGAGTGGGGAGGGGTCTTCTTGCCCCTCCAGGGCCGTCTCCAAAGTGGACTCACCCTGTTCATCTTGATAATGAAGCATGGCTGTCCTTCTTCAAAACCAAAGCTGGGGTCCTCCAGGCCTGAGCAGTTTTGCAACATGTCTGCAGTAAACTTGCAGGAGAACTTGGTGTGGTTTGGGGCCTGGAAGCTGTTCTGGAAGAAGTACCTCTGGGAGGTGCAGTTGATGCTCTCCTGCTGGGATGCTGGCGTGTAACCTGCGGAGGGAGATGCCCAGCACTGTCTGCCCGGGAAGCCAGGCATCTGGGCTGCCTGGTGGGCAGGGAGGTCCGAGAGGCTTTCAGAAGCAGAGTGGTGGGCCAGGTTGGCCTACCTTCCAGGAAGCTGTGGAGGGCGTGTGTGAGACCGGCCCAGGAGCTGTTGTCAGAGACATTGTAGGAAATCTCTAGACCTCTTTCTCCATAAACGTCAGGCCTCAGTGTCACTCCTGGGGAGAGAATGCTCAATGGATGGCTTCACCCGATGCTCACGCACATCAACCCTCTGCCCTGAGGTGTAGGGTCCTAGTGTGGGAGCTGTGCTTAGGAGGAGAGTGGCAAGCCGGGCTCCCTGTGGATAAGGAAGCCCAGGGCAGCACTGTGAACAAAGGCCAAGGACCCTAAGGACATGTCCAGGACTCCATCCACCAGCCAGAACACAGCAGAGTGCAGGTCTTTCACAGCATGGTGGGCATGAAGCCTGGGCCTGTCCCTCAGATTCTGGGTGCCCAGGCCCGGTGGCAGTGGCACACACTGTGTAGAGGACCCTGGGGAGGGCGGCGGATGGGTGCTGACCACTATGGCTCCGTCACTGCCCCAGGTGAGGACCCCATGGCTCTGCAGCAGGCTCTCTAGTAAAATGGGATCTGAGCAGTGCTCTCTAGTAAAATGGGATCTGAGCAGTGAAAACCTTCACTGCATGCATGCACATGCGTGTGCACACACACATCTTCACATCTATAGAAACACCCCTAAACTCCAAGTGTGGGAGAGCAGGAAGCCGAGGCGAAGCCACCGCCGTGCAGGTGCAGGGAGTGCCGTCTTATGTCTGTCAGTGCTGCCACTGTGCAGGTGTGGCCAGTGCTGTCCAGGTACAGCCAGTGCCGTCCCGTGTCTGTCAGTGCTGCCGCTCTGCAGGTGTGGCCAGTGCCATCCTGTGTCTGCCAGCACAGATCTGGCCATTCTCCAGGCAGCTGCGAGGCCTTCACGGTCCCCCACATCAACCGCCATGCTGGCCACAGTACCACCTAGAATTTTGCCATGTGTCACTGAGCCCATCTTGTCTCGGCTTGTCCTGTCCCACCGGGTGGCTGGTTCACGGATGTTCAAGCCAGAGTTGTGGTGTTCGGGGCATTAGCAGGAGAGTAACCGCTGTGCTCAGGGAAAGGCTGTGGTGCATGTTCCTGGTCTTAAGGCAGCCCCAGGACCTCCGTATGTTCCTCTCCGGTCCTTCCTCCCAGCCTCCCAGGCCTGAAGCTGCCACCAAGCTCTGTGCCACCTCCCAGAAATGTCCCTGTGCTGCCTCCCAGAAATGTCCCTGTGCCTGCGTCAGACTGCAGAGACCCATGCATCCGATACAAACCTGTTTCAGTCACTAAAGGCAAAATCAGACTTTATGGATGGGGTCATCTTCCTCGTGGGAAGAGTCTGTGTGTGTGCAGGTGTGGCTAGAGTGCCAGGAGACCCCAAGTTCAAGCCCCAGTACCAGCGTGTGAGCACACGTGCACACATGTGTGCACACACGTGTGATGAGAGGTGTCCGTGTGGCTCTCCGACCCTGGGTCTGTCAGAGGGTGGGGCTTGTGCTGTCCCTACCCCCGCCCTCCCAACGCTTACCGGGCGACTTTAACTGGTCCTGATAGTCCGGCGTGTAGGGGTCTATGGTCTGCATTAGCGAATAAATGCACAGGGCGAACAGCCCAGTCATCACCACGTAGAAGGCCAGGTAGTAGAGGCTGATCCACACTGTGAGGACACTCTTGGTGAGATGCAGCTGCCGGTGCACACGGCACAGACCTCAGTGCACTGCAGTGTGTGCTGCTGCCAGCCCCTCTGCTCATGTCAGCATGTTCTCACCCCTGTGGAAGTCCTTCTCCTGTGTGCCCTCTCCTGGGGCTACTGCCCCTGTCCTGGCCTGCTCTAGGTACTGTGCACAAATCCACAGCAGCAGAGCTGTGGGGGTGGCACCAGGGACATTCTTTGTGTTGGCACCTTAGAAGGTACTGTGGATGTGTGACCACACCGCTCACTGCACCCGGTACTATACCTCACTTCTCACTGCATGGCGGCAGTGTGTGAGGTGTGCCCTGAGTGTACAAGGTGTGTCCTGAGTGTGCTAGAACAGCCTCACTATCCGCCAATGCATTAACGCCACCACCACCACGGTGGCCCGGGCCACCCAGGTGTTCCCTTTGCTCTTCCCTGCAAAGAACAGCCCAGGTGACCGGGAGCAGCCCTGAGGACAGAAAATGGCATGGCCAGCTGTGCCAGCTGTGCCTCACATTTAAAGGGAGAGCTGCCTGGAGGTTAGGGGCCCCCAGAGCCCCAGGATTGAGGCTTCATAGCCAGTCTCACAATGGAGCACCATTCCACTTGACTCAGTAAACCCACATTCCCCCAATCATCTGACTAAGTTTAAGAACATTTTGTTTGGGAAACATCACTTTAAAATGCTCTTCCCAAGCATACAAATGAACATCTAGGGGCAGATCTCAGTGGTCCCTGCCCTCGGGGATTCCGAAGCTTGGGCACAGAGGCCTTCTGGGGACCCTGGCTTCCCTCCGAGGGCTGAGGCCCAGCCATTCAGCTCCTCTACACCTCCTGGCAGAGTCCCTCCCCATACCCCACCCCGAGACCCACACATACACCACCGGGCAGGCGTTCGGCCCAGCATCTGGCCGGTGTCTGGGTTCCAGCAGTAGTGCTGGAATTCAGCCATCCGCTGGCTGCATGACTTCTTCTCCTGCAGAGCCGCCATGCTGGGGTCTGAAGTCTCCTCTCAGCTCCTCTCCAAGCCTCCTCTGGGTTTATAGTCCCCTCTGTGGGATGTCAAGGGCGTGGAGCGTGGTTATCAGCCCTCAGCTATCACTCTCCAAACACAATCTACGGTAGCCACGGCTCCAGGTTCTCCTGCTATCTGCCCTCCACCTGTCCCAGGCCAGCCAGGGCCTGGGATGCCCTTGGCTGGTGACTGGATTAGCCCTGATAGTGACTGGGGAAAAGTCCCCCCCACCCCACCAGGGCCCTCACTTCCTTCACCAGTGAGACACCAAGCAGCACAGGACCCAAGTCAGGTGTCTCAGGCCTGGGCTGGCACTGACTGGCCGTGCCTGGGCTGTGACCTTGACCTGCAATGATGTCTCCTCCTTCTTAGGATGGCTGCAGACAGACAGCACCTGAGGGGTCTGGAGGTTTCTCCTCCTCAGGATGGCTGTAGATAGACAGCACCTGATGAGTCTGAGGTCTTTCCTCCTCAGGATGACTGCAGATAGATAGTAGCTGATGGGCCTGGGGGTCTCTCCTCCTCCTCCTCAGGATGGCTGTAGACAGACAGCACCTGATGGGTCCGGAGTCTCTCCTCCTCAGGATGGCCACAGATAGACAGTGCCTGTGGCAGTCTGTTGCAGCCCAGAGCACCCTTGCCTCTCTCTCTGATAGCAGGCAAGGCAGTCACAGTGGAACCAGGCTGAGGCTGAAGGGGCTAAGTCAGGCGGGAGTGCTACCTTCCAGCTTCACCATGGGGTAACGTCCTCCCACCCTCCCTGGGGTGGGCTTGGGTCTACTTTAAGAGGCTTTTCAGCTGTGGAGGAGTCCTCAGCTACTGGACTCAGAGGGGCCTCTTGGTATGGTGTGCCAAGTCCCCATATCTTGTTGCTACAGCTCTGAGGCCAGGGCCCCTAGAACCCAAGCGTTCATCCTGGTGGGATGTGCTGACAGCTGGGGGCCGAGGCAAGTGTCTGCTGAGGGTGAGTCCAGTGGTCTCTCTGCTCCAGGGCCTGTGCATAAAACACAATGGAGAGGGGGGACCAAGATGGCGACGGGGCAGTAGGGAAACGCCACAGCTCTCTCCAGCCAAAAAGAGAGTTCGAGTTCCAACCTTTAATCTCCCCAAGAGACCGACAACAACAAAAAGACGAACACTCAGAGAAAAACCAGAGGTGGAAAATAACAAAAAAAAGAAAGAGAGGAAAAGAAGAATTTCAGAACAGAGAAGAGCGAAGACCCCTCCCCCAACCTTTACTGGCCGCGCGGCAGTGCGCCAAGCCGCCGGCCAGCCGGCCCGGCGGGGGCTGCCGGAGCCACAGAGACACAGGGGGCTGCTTGCAGATCACCAGGTACCGGATTGCAGAACAGCGGATCACCAGGAACAGAGAAACCTACCAGCCGGGAGTCTCCAGGAGGATCCCACCCCACCCATCACTCTCCACCGGAGCGGAGAGGCTCCATCCCGCCAAAGCCGCCCGGCACCAGCAGCGCCACAAAGGGACCTGTCCGCAGACCACCCGCCCAATCGCGATCGCAACGACCCGGCGGGGGGCCGCCCAACCCAGCCCGCAACCACCCCAACTGAACTCGGACTGCAACAACAACTGACGACCTACAGGGTGAATACCCATCAGGGGACAGGGAATCCATCAAGGGAGACCAGAGCTGGAGGGAATCCCCAGACCCTGACCTAGACTCCCTACCCCAACACCCGGACCACAGGACCCACTAAAACTGGGAACTGTTCGAGAGCTCCACCAGCCGGTGGAGCACACTCTGCTGGCCAGGCCAGAGCAAGAGCGCCCCTGGAAGGGAGCTTAAATGCTCAAGCCAGGAACAGTGCCCCTGGGTTAAGACTACCAACAGTAGAAGAAATTTGAACTGTGTCCTCAAGGCTGCATAACCAAGGTGGTATACACATTAGCACAGGCCTAACGAGCGCGCTCCAGGCTGGGGCCAGAACCAGGCCAGGGGACCGGCGCCTGAACAAAGCAAAAAGGGTCAGAAGTGGGGCTGTGGCTCAAATGGTAGGGTGCCAGCCCTGAGCTGAAGAGCTGAGGGACAGCACCCAAACCTAGAGTTCAAGCCCACAACCAGCCCAAAACAAACAAACAAAAACACATCAGGAGCCCATAGCAGACTCCAGTATTTGGGAGAGTGCATCCAGAGCATCTGATCTTCCCAAGAGCACCCGCAGGAGCAAACACAAGCAGTCTAGGCTGCTCAACCCTTCCAAAGGCGGGAATTGCTACAGCAGAGAGCTGAGAATCCTAAGTGAATAGCAGCTGGAAATAGGCTCCCAACAGAATCCAGATCAGGCACAGACTCTCTCTACCAATACAGAATCAGCAACCAAGCAAAGACAGACACACCAAAACAAGATTGAAGAGCAGTCTCCTGAACCCCCATGCGAAAATCACAGAGAAAAATCACAAGGTTTACCACTACCCAGGACAGCAAGCTCACCTCAAAAGCCAGCAGCCACGCAGGGGAGAGCCCCAGTGGGAGCAAAGCAGGAATGGAAGACAAAAACTACATCCAAGGGTTGCTGGAGGCAATGACTCAAGAAATAAAGCGAGAAATGGATCAGAAATTGAAAGAGCACAAGGATGAACTATCAAAAGATATACAGGATATCAAACAAAAATTGGATGCAAAAATAGAAGCTGCACAAACCTCAGTAAGAAGTGAGATAAACGCCAAATTAGAGGTAATGCATACTGATCTCACCTCATTGAGAGGTGAGATCAGTACTCTGAGAACCAACATTGAATCCATAAAGGGATCCATTTCCACCATGCAAACCACAATAGAAGCCACGGTCAACAGAGTGAATGAAATGGAAGGTAGAGTGTCAGATACAGAAGACAGAATACACCAACTGGACCAAAAAGTGACAGATATGGAAAAATCACTCAAATTAAACCAAAGGGAAATTCAAGAGCAAGCAGATAATGCTAAAAAATTTAACCTTCGCATAATCGGAGTGGACGAAGGTGAGGAATTCCAGAGCAAGGGAATGCAACACCTATTTAACAAGATAGTCAATGAAAATTTTCCCCACCTCAAAAACGACCATCTTAACTACATCACAAAAGCTTATCGAACACCCAACAAGCAAGATCCCAGGAGAAACACTTCTAGGCACATAATAGTAACAATGATGGATCTGAATAATAAGGAAACAATCCTGCATGCAGCAAAAATGAAGAAGGAGCTATACTACAACGGGAAAAAAATTAGAATCACTGCAGATCTCTCCACACAAACAATGAATGCAAGAAAAGCCTGGGAAAGCACCATACGAGCCCTGAGAGCCAATAACTGCCAACCCAGACTGATATACCCGGCAAAGCTAGCATTCACATTCGATGGAGAACTGAAAACTTTTAATAGCAAAGAAAAACTAAATGAATACATAAACATTAAGCCAGCATTACAAAGAATTCTAAGAGGGGGGACACAACCTGAAGAAAGCAACCAGGAACTGGGACCTGCCCCAAACAGGCATTACTCAAAGTCTAACTGAGCAAGCACAGGAGGAAAGGAAAGAAGAAAAACTTAGGAAAACGGAATGGCAGGGACAACAATGCATCTCTCTATACTTTCTCTTAATATAAATGGGCTGAATTCGCCAATTAAAAGAAAACGAACTGAGGACTGGATCAGAAAACAAGACCCATCCATCTGTTGCCTTCAGGAGACCCACCTCTCAGCCAAACATACAAACAAACTCAGAGTGAAGGGGTGGAAAAGGATCTACCAATCAAATTCCCCCAATAAGAAAGCAGGTGTAGCTATCCTGATATCTGACAAAATAAACTTTTCATTAAAATCAGTACAGAAAGACAAGGACGGACACTACATATTAATAAAGGGAACAATCCAAGAGGAGGATATAACCATCATCAACTTATATGCCCCAAATATTGGTGCACCCAGATATGTTAAACAAATGCTCTCAAACTTACAGAATAAAATAGATCCCAATACGATAATACTAGGAGACTTTAACACGCCACTCTCACCAAAGGACAGGTCTACCAACCAGAGGATTGGCAAAGAAGCTACCGAATTAAGTGAGGCCATACTTCAAGCGGAATTAACTGACATCTACCGAGTATTTCACCCTAAAACAACACAGTACACATTCTTCTCAGCAGCTCATGGAACTTTCTCCAAAATAGACCATATCATAGTTCATTCAAGGAACTTAAGCAAATACAAAGGGATCGACATAATCCCCTGTATCCTATCTGACCACAGTGGAATCAAGCTAGCTCTCAATAACAAAGCATACCGCAGAAATTTCTCTAATACATGGAAATTGAACAGCACACTCCTTAACAAGGCCTGGGTAACAGAAGAGATCAGAGAAGAAATAAAGCATTTCCTAGAACTCAATGAAAATGAAAACACCTCACAAAGAAACTTGTGGGACATAGCAAAAAGCAGTCCTGAGGGGCAAATTTATTGCCCTCAGTGCCCACATCAAGAGAATGGAGACAGACCAAGTAAATAATCTCATGTTGCAACTAAAACAGCTAGAAAAACAAGAAAAAATGGGACCTAAAGCTACTAGACGAAGCCAGATAACCAAATTGAGAGCAGAGATTAACCAATTAGAAAATCAGAAAACCATAACCAAAATAAACCAAACAAAAAGCTGGTTCTTTGAAAAAATAAACAAAATTGATGGCCCGTTGGCAAGATTAATTAAAAAAAGAAGAGAGGAAACCCATATTAATAGGATTAGGGATGCCACGGGAAACATCACAACACGTACCCAAGATATCCAAACAATTCTAACAGACTACTTTCAAAAGCTATACTCTCTAAAGGAAGAAAATCAGGCGGAAATGGATGCATTTTTAGAGAAATACAAGTTACCCAAACTGAGCAAAGAAGAAGTTAACCAATTAAATAAGCCAATATCCTATAATGAGATACAGGAAGCTATCAAAAGTCTTCCAACAAAAAAAAGCCCAGGACCAGATGGATTCACAGCAGAATTCTATAAGAC